CCCTTTTGATGCCCAACGCAGGCCCTAAGGCGTTGCGCAGCCCATACGAGTTCCCAAACTCGCATGGATACCTTTGACACTCCCTTGAGTTATCTAGGCAGGCCCTTGGGGTTCGCCCCCAAGGCAGCTCGTTCTATACGGCTCGGTGGCAGCGCGTATGGGGGAGGCAGGTCGGAACTTTCATCACCTATACCCCCTTATATATGTTTAAAATTAAAAAGCCCAAGTTGCCCGAGTAGACTGCTCTACGTCAGACCATCAGAAGGCTCCTTTCTCACCAGTTCTTGGCCGAAATTACAACCCCAAATTCTAAGTTGTAACAAACTGTCTCTATACAGTTTGGTGGACTTTTAGTTTACATCACTATCATTACCATATATTTTTGCCGACACTTTGAATAACGTTCCTATTGAAGCTTCGCAAATCTCATTTTTGGTAGTCTTGTAACTGGTTCTTGGTTACTTCAACATGCAATCTGTCCTTATAAAATTATGAATTGCATTACAGTTAGTAGCAAGGTTCACATTCTTTGCGGATGCATAATCGAGTATGCCTTACTATCTCGTCCAACTCACTCCATAATCTCTGAAAACTATTCTCACTATCATCTTCCTTGGCCGAGTCTTTCATTTTTGTTTCTTTAATGAGTTGGAACGAAAATATGAAAGTTGGGAAGGAGGTTTTCATGCAACATTGGAAACTTGAAGGGAATTAGCTTCTGGTTTGTCTTGGCCTTTTGTAAGAGCTTCTGATTTTTTGATAGATGTAGAAAGCCTAATTCCTTTCAAGATTTCAGCACTGATTGAAAAGCTCCTTCAACTGAGATATATTTGTAGATTCTTGTTCCAACTCACTAAGGAAACGAAAAATGGACAAATCAACAATGGGATGTGCCAGTGAGGATGTGAAAAGTTTTAACAGATTACGAAGCGAAGATAGCTAACCTCTAAGGCATGCTCTATTATGCATCCATGAAGAACTTGAACCCTGTTGGTTATAATGCATTCCATAATTTTATAAAAGCTAAATTGCATGTTGAAGTAACCAAGAACCAAGTGCAAGACAAGATTAGGAGACTAATAAAAAAATTTAAAAATAATATTGCCAAGAGGAGCTTTTTAAGGCTTCATGAGGAGATGTCATTTGAATTGTCATAAAATTTTGAGGTGATGACAACCAAGTTGACAAAGTGAAGAAAGCATTTAAGGTGGATGAAGCTAGAAAAATGTTGTTGACTTGGGATAATGTTCAAGTTTAGTTTTAAGAGAAGGAAGTGCTGTTGATTTAGAGGATTGGTTCGAAAGGAATCTTGGTTTAAGTAGCAAAGAGAAGTGAAATGAAATGTTGAAAAGGTGAAAGCCATGAATATTGCTAGGACTGAACATTACTTGAATGAGATCAAACCTATGAAGGAACAAAGTTGTTGTATGATGCTTTGGAAGCTTCTCAAAAATGCTGTAGCATAAATGTTACTAGTAAGAAATATAGGTTGATTTTGTCCTACTTGTTTCGTTTTCAACTTTTGTTTTGCTTTTGGGCTTATTGCGCATTGGTGGGAAGACGTGGAATACTGACAGATTTTCCTTTTTGCATCTGATTCTGGAACTTTCAGCTTTTGGTACTTTGCTGAGGTGTGGGGGAATCAGCTGCCGCAGTTGCTAAGCAAAATACTCAAAAATACGCCTTTAGAACTACATATTCAGAAAAATGTACTTTATGTAACTTCCTTGATTATTGCCTTTATTTATAGTCCCAACTAATAACTGAGCCCGAAACGAAAGTATGGTATTTTTGGATTTAAACGATTAAAATAGATGAAAAAATAATTGACTATCATTTTATATATAACGCAGTTATTTATCGCGTTATATCTTAATGACACATTTGTTCATCAAAGTATTTGTAATTTGACTGCATAGCGCGCTCTATCTATTCACTTACCTATCAATGAGTATGTTCCCCGGAGGGAGTACTAATTAGTCAAGTACAAAAGGGTTGAGACATGTTGAGATCAAGATCAATGCATCCATAATTAATTAAGTATATTTTGGCAAGTTCGAGATGGAGTAGTAGAAAAGATGGGAGCATGGCCTTTTCTTCATCACTAATTAAAGAAAGAATATTATGGAGTAATACTGTAGGTAACAAAAACATTTTGCAACCCATGACATGCAGTTTGGCCTAATGCAAAAAACACTAAAACCTATCAGGTCCCACCTTCATGGATAGTGGTGGCAAACGGTCGTTCGGGTCGGATATGGACGGATTGAAAAGTGGTAATATAAAAATCGGATAACTTATTTGACCCGACTCATATTTAATACGGATAAAAAATAAATTATCCGTCGGATAATATGGATATCCATATTATCCATGATGACTTCTTGAGTATGATCACTTTTGGGAGAATTCTTAGTCTCATAAACTTAAGGAACCCCCAATTTGAGTTTTTACAAATGTAAAAGTTAAACCCATTAGTTATCCATTGATTATCTATTTTCTAAGTGAATAATATGATTCTTATACATATTTGACCCGTTTTTAAAAAGGTTATTATCCAATTCATTTGTTAGTGAATAATACGGATATATAACTATTTTTTTTATCCAGTTTGTCACCACTATTCATGGATTTACATTCCCCGTGTAAGGTACTTACTTAATTATTAATGTGTTCATTGCTTGATTTTGTAATAGACTGAATTTTCACTCAATTCCTTTGCGTCTTACAACATTAAGACATATTTACAAGAAGTTAATACTAAGAAATGATTAATGTGATTTTTTGGGGTGAAAAAACAAAACAAAACAAAACAAAAGAAAGCTGAAACGAAATTGTGGTGGAGTGAAAAACGAAGGGACGAAAATGAGTGGAAACGTTGGAGTCGTGATAACATTCTTTTTCTTTTTGTAAGTTAGCGGAGCGTTCTACACCTTGGAGAAAACATTGATAGCGCAGGTCATTGATGCGCTATGCAGCCAAACTGCAACTACCAAGTATAGCGTATATATTACATGCGCTATTCTTTAACGGACAAACGTGCCTTTAAGATATAGCGCGGTTAATAATCGCGCTATATATAAAATGGTAGTCAGTTATTTTTTCACCTATTTTCGTCGTTTAAGTCCAAAAATATCACACTTTGGTTCCGGACACACTAATAACAAAAACAAATACTCCACTCGAGAGAAGCAAGAGAAAAGCCATTTAGAGAAAGGAGAACATGCTTAATGGAACATTTTCCCTCAGTTTTATTTTATGCGTTTTAACGTGAAGTTAAAAAAAAATGTAAAGAAAAAACTGTACATACCAAAAACGTTTTTGAATCTTATGATCTTAATTATATCATAACATTATGAATAAAATGACAATTTTGGAATTAAAAAACTTACTAAATACAGGAATATGATTTTATTTTTTCCTTAAGTGGATTAAAATGGAAAGAATATGTGTTTCTTGTTAAGAAATGGTAACTGGTGATAATATGTGTTTGTTTCCTTCGAATGATCGATAAGACCCTTTCATCACAATACGCCATTATTTATCTCCAAAAGATAAACCACTTTCTATTTACCAGCCTTCCACTTTGTCCTTCTTAGCTTTCTGAATAGTTGGAGGGAAAAGGACATTCTTTTCTTATTATTCTCCTCCTCCTTTTGTTAAAACAAACATACTACACAGGGAGAAGGAATTTGAAATGATCAACTACACTATTTCATGATTCTGCCTACCATTTCTTCAATGTTTTGCTCAACTTAAGTAGGATAAATGCATTATGAAGAATTCATCTTCAAACGGCGATAGACCTCCAAATTCATATACTAGAGCTTTGAGTTCATCATCCGGTCCTCAACTGTTCAACGATCTTACACAGAGCAGTTTTCTAACTACTGTAGGTTTATTCACTATACATTAACATCAATTACAACATACCAATGATTCCATTAAATACCTAAAAGACCAAAAAGGAGAAGAGTAACCTATATGAGCAAACAGAGGAGTACATTCCATACCATATTCAAATGGAGAGAATACCCCAAATGCACGGTAATACAAGGTGGTACACAAAAAATGGATAAAGAAAACTCAATTGTACCTGTTGCGACATGTACCTACCACAATTAGACTTCATTGGGGCTATAAGTATAGCTGTATAAGTTCATCACTTACTACAGATGGTGTTAGAACGCCCAAATCTGTGAATAGTAGTGTAAGATACTGAGGTGGTGTATAATCACGAGCAGAAGTTTCAACCTCCACCTTGGATGGAATTGGTACCCCAAAATCAATTGGACGTAAAGCTGGAACCATATCTTTTTGGTCCAGTGTATAGAGACGAGCAAACTGCAAGAAATTAGAACTTGTTAGGCAAATGAATTCCATAGCACACTTCTGGTTCCATCTAGTCAAAATACCCCTCAAGACATGTGCATTGAAATCCTTAATGTAATAGATAACATGCTGTAAACCTACCTTATAACTTTCAGCGGCCACATAGACTGGTTTATTCATGCTCTTAGCTACCAAAGCAATTTGGTAGGTTCCCATCATGTTGATAACACCTCCACTTTCAACCACTCCATCTGCCCCAACAAAAACCATGTCCACTTCATCCATGCTATATGCCACAGCAGAATCTATTAAGAGCTTCACAGGAACATCAAGCTTGGCTAGCTCGTTGGACAATCGTAACCCAGTCCTGTCTGGCCTCCCCTCTGCAGTTCAGATAATGGAATCCAAATTATCATGTGATAGCATTAAACAATAACTCATCTTCTCAAATAGGTCTAGATGAAAGCAGATGCAGTTTCACCTTTCACCATTATCAAAACAAGAAGGGCTATAATCAACCACAACTCGAAACTTTTTCACCAATTAGTACTACTTGAATTGAGAGGAACCGGGAGAAAGAGAAACAACAGTCTTTCTGACAGGGGAATAAAGAAAAGTTTGAACCCTAACATTCCATGTGAATCTTCAAAACAAAAGTAAATAAATAAATGAGCAAAAGCAAAGAAAGTTCCTTCTCCCTCATTTATTTGTAGCTAACTGTCCATAAACATAATTATCTATTATCTGGTTAACTGATAAGCAAAAGTTTTCTTATAAAGGCAATATATTGATGAAAGAGAAACTTTTCCCATTCCCTTCTGGCTTGTCCATCCAAGATGAAAATAAATACTGAGAAGAGAGAAAACAATCGCCACTTCACAATAGATAGCACATAAAACTATCTAACTGCAGCAATAATTCATATGTACTAGCAATGTAACACTTCTGTACAAACCAGTGCAAAGAACTCGAAAAAGCTTCCTATTCTGAGCTGCAGTTTTCAGAATCTCTAAAACCACTCTGGAGAAGCCATGTACTAAAATGGTGCAACCATCAAAAATAAAATCTTGGCTGAGCATCGCAATTATCTTCCGAGCCTGCATTTCAAAGTTTTTTTCTTTAGAAGCTATGTTAATTTGATTAAAATGCTTATTCCTCTAAGTAATTTCCTGGTTTACCTTATAAGATATTTCCCCAAACTTCTCTGCACGTTCAAGAAGGCGAGACTTAGCTGAATTAAAGTCCTCATACTCCAATGCTGAGGTTCTTGTTACATAGCGCATGAACAAATCACAACCAGCTGTCAAAGAGATGGAGGTTTTGTCCCATGACTGCAATAGAAACATAAAAAAAGAACATAAATTTCTCAACTCCGTGATTATGTTTGCAAGCAAATTTGGCTCGACTACTATAAGGTAGATGTATCTGCCATACAAATCTAGTTTTACACATCAAAATTCAAGGGCCTGACAACAGTAGGCACTTAAAAAGTTGAAGAATAAAGCTCTAATGACATTAGGCACGTCACCCTCCATCAAGGGTGAAATTGGATAATTACTACTGCACCATATCTGCATCTTCGCTGTTGTGATAATCTATTGATATCAAGATTCATAACCCACCATTAGTTCTCCCCTCGAACCCAAAACACAGACTTCTGTCGTGATTGGTCCGATAGTGACAATCATCTCTAACCAATCGAATCTAAACTATGTTGCGCGGACTCTCCAAAATGAGGCCGCACCCGTGTCGGATCCTTCAAAAATACACTATTTTTGGAGGATCTGACACGCACCCGATAACATTTTCGGAGTGTCCGAGCAACATAGAATCTAAATATAATCCTCTCTAATTGCAGGACTAAATCTGATGATATGGCTCATTATATGCTTTAATTCTTTCAGCACAACAGTAGTGACCCTTCAAATATTGTTATAAGGATTAACAAACAAAAGGGAGTTTGTCACAACTTATTTCCTTTTTTAAAAAGGAGGGATGTAACACGAGGACTTCCTAGAGGTCACCCATCCTAGTAGTACTCTCACCCAAGCACGCTGGCATAGCATCCTGTCAAAAACTTATTTCCTTGACATCCACATTCAACTTTATCTTAGCTTAGCGACTCGAAACATCACATTAGAGAAACAGATCCAATTCTTTGAAGAAACTTCTGAATCTCCCCCGCTTGAAGAAAGCACATTAGACCAGGCAACGTGGAGCCAAACTCTTTTAATGCAATCTACAATTTTCACCATTAGAAAACTACTCAAAATTCCAAGTTTGATTGAATTAGGAACCTATTAACTAAGAAAGAAAAAAAACAGGAAAATTCTTTAATTCTTTTAGCACAATAGTAATGACCAACTAAATACATTTATCAGGACTAAAAACAAAAACTATATTAAAAAAAAAAAGAAAAAATGGAACCTTGAGAGAATCAGAAGCCTTTTTAAGCTCAATCTCAAGCTCCATCATTGTAGTAGCTTCACTGGACCGAATAACCGAAGCCAAAGCTCTAATAGCAGCCACCGCCTCAGCCAAATCAGGCTGTTTCCGCCAATTATCGAACTCATCAATCACACTGAAACCCTTACCCGAATCTCCACACTTCGAAGAACAGTTCACTGATACAGTCTCTTCGGATTGATCACCGACGGCAGCCTGAGCCTGAGCTAGCCAGTCACTAGTTACAACCCCAATGTGAGCCGCTCTCGTTTGATAGTACGCCGAAATGTTAGGGTTAGTTTGTTGTAGGGTATCGGCCATGGATAATGAAGCGGCGGCGGCTGAGGGCGGAGAAAGATGGCGGCTCTCTGGCATTGTGACGACGTCGTTTTGGTTTTTTCCGAGAATGAAGGAAGCTGACCTGTGCCACATTTTATTTTATTTTTGGGAATGGAAATAAAAATGGATAAGATGAGGCGAATATGAATTTTACTTAGTGGAATAGTAACGCGCCGCAATAAGAAGTGCGGGAAACACGAGCTTGACCCAACGGCCTAATTGACCCTACGATAATGACATTTGAAGTAGTATTATTTAAGTTGAGAATGACAAAAGAATGATAACAAAGGTTTAACTTTTTCCTCAAAATTAAGATAGCTCTAAGGTTTAATCTCTAACAATGCAATAATAACAATTATCTCATACCTGAAGTGATTACTTAGTTTTTAAAATAAATAAATAAAAAAATTCTTGATTTGTATTGTAGCAGGTACAGTCAAACCTCTCTATAACAGTCTCGTTCGTTCCGAATAATTTTTGATGCTATAGTGAAGTCTGTTATACATGACATATATTATAACATAATATAATATATGATTCCCAAGAATAATTCTGCTTTTATAGTGAATGACTATTATATATGGATGATGTTATAGAGAGCTCTGACTGTATAGCAATAACCATCGAAGCATAACAAATTATTTTTCTAAAAAATATTTTCTACCCTCTAACCAAACACTAAAAAATATTTTTTGAAAATAGTTTTTCACTCACCAACCAAACAAGAGAAAATAAGTGATAAAATCACGCATTTTCCGTAATAAATATTTTTTCTTCGTACCAAACACACCCAACAAGCATGGAGTATTTCTTTTCTAGGTTATCCATCGTGCAATGTCATGACAACTTGCAAAGGTAGATGCAGTGTACTATATACTACTACTATTATGGTGAGTATCGACCACTTCAGTCTGGTTTTGAATGTTATTGATTCGACATATTGGTTATTGATTTATAAATATGTTAAACTAATGATCGAATCGATAAGATATCATTTTTCGGGTATCGGTTAATCGGTTATCGATCGTTATCCGTTGACCCTATAAGATAACTTAATTTAGAGGGAAAAACATAGTGTATAATGCTGATTGTGATGTAAACTAAGAGTCCACCAAACTGTATAAAGAACCTGGTTCTGTATCAGTTCTCACAGAACACACACATAGCGGTGAGTAAATAACACAATAATATTTTACGTGAAAAACTCCCAACTCACGGGATTAAAAATCACGACCTACACTCGTAAGATTTCAACTTCACTAACCGAGCAACTTTTGATTACAACATAAGAATTAAACTCTTAACCCCTCTCCTACTTGGAATAACTATATTGCAAGCCTCTTTGTAATAACTCTATTACAAAACAACAAATCTTGACTAACTCTAGTCAAGAAACTAAACCAAACAGTAGTTTAAATTTGTCCTACAAAGACACTTCTTGAAAGTGGTGTAGGATTACAAATGAAAAACAAATAACAAAGACTCAACAAACCTAATGACTTAAGATATCTTCAATCTTTGGATCTTGTCCTTGAGGTTGCAGCAGCTTTGTTCTTGAGAGAAATGGTGGCTAGCACTTGATAGAGAAAAACAATTTTAGGTTTTTCAAGTGTTAGGCCATGAAATCCCTGACCTCATATTGATAATATGTGTGTGTGAGGTCATTGGGATGGTGTAAGCAAATATTCGGTATAAGGCATGCTCCATAAAGTGAATGTTGCACTGTTGCGTGTGCAGTGCAACAGTGCATCGACTTTAATAGTTGAAATGAGTTGATATGTACTGTGACCGGAGGAACTGATCTCTATCTGTTCCCTTTATTGTTCCCCTTGTTGTTCCCTTAACTGATTTCGTTGAGAGTTGAACTAGAAATCTGACTAGTTATTCTGAACGCAAATGAACTAATTGTTTCAGGTTCCTTATCTGGTTCTCTCGTGAAGTTTGTCAAATCATTAAAACAAAGGACACATATCTTATCAATTTTTCCTTTTTTGATGATGACAAACTTAGAGTTGATATCCCCATGAGAACCAGATTTTCCACATTGTTCCCCTGCAGAATAGCCATATTCCCCTTGAGAACCTTTCGCTATCTGGTTTTCATATGAAGTTTGTTAAATTATCAAAATACAAAGGCACATAACTTATCAGATTGATCTTATAACCTTGATCCCTTTCAATTATGTTTGAAAAATACATAAGTTATCCCCTAATTCATGCCATTCAGCCTCGATCCCATGCCACTCAAATTTATGTTACTCAGTTTCGAATCCATTTGGGCTATAGGGCGATGCGAGTTGAAACTTTTTTTCCCCTTTTTTCAAATGCAGTGGCGCGCGGGACGATTTGGAGGAATCTTAAGCCTATTGATCAACATCTATCGGATATCTGAAAGAATCAATGTTACAAAAAAGAAAAAAGAAATAGAGAGTTTGTGGATAACTCTTGTCGGAAAAAATATTATGGGCATGGCAGCCCGGTGCACAAGGCATCCCGCGTTCACGCAGGATTCAGGTAGGAGCCGCAACGCAAAGGGTGTGATATAGATAGGCTAACCTAATATAAACATTAGTGGCTGCTTTCACGACTCAAATCCGTGACATATAGATTATACAAAGATAACTTTACCGTTGCTCTAACGTTCTCATACACAGAAAAATATTATGGAAATAATAATATATCCTTCCAATAAAGGGAATGGATTTTTCATAACAATTAGTTACTCCATTAAATAAAGAATGAGGGACTATTTGAATACATCAAGAAAATAGTATGTTTCTTGTCGATTCTTTTTCCATCCTTGTCTAGAAAGTTTATTCCCCAATTTATATCCACCCTCGTTAGTCGTTTCCTATTGTAAATTTTAGACGTTATACGAAATTATTTTCTTGAATTTTCTTTTACAAACTTATGTGTTGAATTAATAATTTTTATGAAGTTAATTCCTTGAATATTCCTTTTCATTCTTTGAAGTTCCCCTTTAATGATGTTTTTTACTACTATCAAATAAAGATATTCTCATGCATACAGTTAGTTGAATTCAATCCAATTTAAATTAGTACATTATATTATTAAATCCACTGGTTTATATTATAAAAGAAAAAAAAAGAAATATTGTTCGGTAAAGTTGACTTTCTTGAGGGTGGTCATTAAAGCAAAATAATAAAAACAAGATATGACTGACAGATCTCATTATTAAATTTTTATTTGCAACTTAAAAAAAAAAAAAACTCAATCACTTAATTAGACAACAGTGGATTTATTGAAATTGCATGATTGAGTTGACGTACTCACCTACCCTCCTGAAAAGGGGGGGATATTTATCTACGTGGCTATATATATTTGGTTATAATTTTTGTCTTTCATTTACTGATCTGTTTGGGCCCATTTGATTCTGCAAAAGGGTACTTGCGAGCCCTCTGAAATTGTATTATAGGAGTAATTAAAAGGCACTGTCCTTTTCTTGTTCATTTTTCTATTCCTAATAAATATTTTTTGTTTTGATTCATTTTGTATAATCCTTTATTTTATGTTGTGATTCAGCTATTTAATTATTCATATAGGAAAGTTTTGATATTTATTTCAGGAATATATATATTGATTGATGAGAAGCAAAAATGGTGGTTTCTTGAATTTTTATCAAGAAAAGTTGTTCCCTTTAGAGGTTAAAGATTCAATCTTTTTCGCTGTTGAGGTGATTTGGGGTTTCCTTATTTGGCTTTCTTTCCAATTGGGTGTTTTGAATTTTCTACGGGGGATTTTTTGAATTGATTTTATTACCATATCAAGAATTGGATTCTGTGAAGTGGGTATTTTATTCAGAGGGAAGTTCAAAGGAATTCTATTTAATGCCAGTTGATTGGAAGCTATTGGCAGCCAGCCATTTTCGATATCTATTGATTTGGAGAATGCTGATAAATGAATCATGAGTAGTAAGGCTAAGGCATTGATAATAGTTCTATAATTAGTGAATAGTTTGTTGATTCTTTTATGTTGGGCACTTGTCAGGGGCTCTATGCTGTTTTTTTGTTGCAGCAATTGGATATGAGTTTTGTTACTGAATGAGGTTATAGCAATGAGAGGCAAAGGCCTCTCTAATGTTGTCAATGGATGCCTCGAATAGGACATTCTCTGATCTGTTAAAGTTACTGAAATCGTGGATCCCTTGGCGACATGAGCCTGATAATGTATCGAGGGATTTTTGGATGCCCGATCATAGCTGTAGGGTATGTTATGATTGTGATTCTCAGTTCACATTGTTTAACCGTAGGCATCATTGTCGTCTTTGTGGGCGAGTATTCTGTGGCAAGTGCACATCTAATTGGGTTCCAGCACCATCCAGTGAGCCAAGGCCACTACAAGATGAGTGGGAAAAGATCAGAGTTTGCAATTACTGTTTCAAGCAATGGGAGCAAGGTTTAGCTGCTAGTGTTAGAACTCAGATTGCTATCCTTCATACGAGTACTTCTTCGCCTTCTGCAACCAGTTTTATCAGCTTCAAGACTAGTGGAACTGGTGAGAGCAGTAGCATTACCGTTACTTCAGTGCCACACTCTTCGGTACTTAGTCCATGCAAATCAGCTGTAACAGAATCTACTCTAGAGACGCAAAATGTTGCAACATCGAGAGGGAGCTTTGATCCTGCTAGTAAAGGGGTTTTGGACCCTTCCCTAAACCAATATGCATTTTGCACAACAAGGTTCGTCTTACATCTTCTATTATCAGTCAATTTGAACCAATTAACGAAAAAGAAATCAAACCAACTATTATTTGTCGTTGAATTGTTGTTTGGAAAGTTGCACCATTTATGAGTTTCTTTGTTGTCAAATGTGAATGGGTAGATTGCCTTAAAACACTAGGGGCATCTCTTACTAAGTAGTGAAGAAAGCACTTTTTTGCCCCTAGTTTCGATAGCGTTGGAACATCCTAACTCTGTGGTATACCTCTCTATTATGCTATTGCATGTTTGAATCCTCTTAAGGATTTGTGTGAAATCAACCACATAAGCACATGTGTTCTAAGGCCGTAGCTCGCTACTCAGGTTCTGCACTAGATGTCGCAACCACATCTTGCTTCTTATTTTTTCATGAAATC